TTAAAACCGATTGCTTAAAAACGACGCATGATGATGGGACATTTCTCACCAACCCATCAAAACTATTCACATTATGCATTGGTGAATAGAGAACAATTGAGAATGATTGATTTCTTCTGATATAATACAACTACTACGAAGACGACGACTCAGTAACCGATTATACATATTCGAGTACTTGGCATTCGGTTAATGATACCGATCGATTGTTCTAATTGAAGTAGGCCTTGAAATTGAGGAGAATTAGTTGGAATTCCAATGTTCTACTCACTTAACCCTGATAGTATTTATGTGCATATTTAACTCTGATATGATCGATCGTATTTGTGGTGCAGTATTGAGCTTAGCTTATGAACAGTAAGTAACTGTCAATTTTTGTTTAATTGACAAGATTGTAATCAAGGTTTGAGATGTCACCACTGATCTATGCTACTTGTATTGATTATATTGAAAGAAATGTGAAATAATCGGTGATCTATGGAAACTAGAAAGATAACTCTGGAAAACTATCGATGACATTCGTTAGCCGACTAAAGAACAAGTATGATGCATAGTAATTCATAATTCTTCTTCCGTTTATGATTGTGAAACGAGGCTTTTAGTAAACAGAGAATATATGTAGGTGATTGTTATTTGATCATAGTTGCATTGATAGTTCTGTTCATATATGTTAGAACGAATGAGTAAGTAGTACTGAGGTTAGACGGAGATTAATGGGTAAAATAATAATAAATCGACTGATGCATTTTTGGGATCTTCACCTGAATGACGTCGTTGGGATAGTTTTTCCTACCTACCTATACATAACACAATATCTTAGTCGACAGGCAATATTCTCTGATGTAGGAATAGATTGAAAGAAAACTAAAGAGGAACAAACTAAAATATAACATTAGTCTATTAAGTTATTGATTATTGATTTGAGCAATGTTGTTATAGATACAGATTACTAGATTAGTAAGTAAGTAGTATTGATCTGCTTTTTTTCAGAGAAATAATCATAGATTCAAAAAAATGGGATCATTGAATATACATGTTGCTGAATATAAGAAATATAAACAAAGTTTCTCATTGAATTTTCTAGTTAAAGAAATGTAAACAAATTTCAGTGGAACAACAAATTACATGCACACACACACACATCACGTCAATAAAATGACGACGACAACAACAACAACAATAACAACAGTATCAACAACATTCAGAAGGATTGATTATATGGGATGGAAAAATCATATCGACAATCTATCCATAGATACACAGATTGACACGACCAGGGTATGTATATATATACATACATACATACATACCTTTACATATAAAGCCATCAGCTCTGAGTCTACATAACAGTAATTCACATAACCTGGTTTCTTCCAACTCAATACTTCACAGATATTTTAGGAGAAAAGGTATCTAACGGAGAATTAATTAAATGAAAATTATCCCATTTTAATTATATGTGTGGACACGGATACTGACATGTATCAGTATGAATGTGCATGTGCATATGTGTGTGTGTGTGCGTGTCATGAATGAGCTGATGGAACAACTCAGTTGTACAATAGATAATTAGAAATGAATGTTGAGGGGGGGGGGTAAATAATAATTTAATTAAAATTAAGAATACTACTAATATGATTGATACTACTGATAATAATAATAATAATAATTTATTTAATAAAGGACCAACATGTCCTCGACAATTATATACATACATATCTTTATTGAATTTGATTAAGTGACAGTATAAATGTCACTTATTGTTGTGATGAAATGTATGACCCAGAAACGAAATGGACAATGAATTATTAATGTAATTATGTAATTTATCAATGTTTACATGCATATCTACTTGACTGGTTATAATAAGCTAACTAGATTGATTAGCTCAGTGAATAAAAGGTACTGGGTTCAAGTCCAAGAGACTAGAATGTTAGTACATCACAGACGAACGAGTCCTAAATAGGATGAAATGCGTATCCTAAACTTCACTACAAGGTTCATAGCAAATTTACTTAAAAATTACTACATAATATGAGTTGGGAAATTCTTTAGTAGATGTCAACATTTTCCATGATTAATGAATAGGAACATATATACCATTGATAGAAGCATTAGTGCCGACAAATGCCCAATTTTAATCGGTTAAATGAGTGAGTGGGCACCTTTCTGTGTGATCTGGAACGAGTCAAGATAACTCAGATTTAGTCACCTTTGCTTAACTGATTCGAGTGACCAACCTTATAATGTTCACTTTTTTAGCAACATTCGAAAATAGTTAGCAACACCTATGTCTTTTACTTCATCCGATAAGACTTAACACAGTAAATAATCGATTGTTCACGTATATCGACTTATTTTCATTTATTTCTTATCTCTTCCTTATAACTTATATTATTATCATCATTATTATTGGCTTTATACAATATTATAGTTTTGGTACAATATAGAATTTTCAGCACAGGGTATTTCAACAAGTTTCTTATGCCAAAAAAACAGTAACGAATAAAAAAAGGTTTAAAAACAATAAGCCGGAAAACTGTACAACTTTTAAAATTAGAGACATGGTTAAGAATGTAGGTTATTGACTAGGTTAACTCTAACAACCTGTTCGTCATCGAGTATATTTACTAGGTAAGGTATTATAGAACTTTTATACTTTTGTTTGCGTGCATGGATTTTAATGTAATTACGTCTCGTTCTACCAGAAGATATACAAGGAGAAACATAAAAGTGGAGGGGATGGTTAGTATCTGATAAAATAACACCTGCCAGGAGTTTACATGACTTTAGATGTCTATCCACAACCAATATTAATTATGACCTCAAAAGATTCATCACACACCTTGCTAACTGCCTTCAGCACTCTCCGCAATACAGCAAAGTCCTTTCTCAAAAGCCTGGTAAAGAATAATGTAGAACAGTAAAGAATAATAGGTAATATGCAAGAATTGACAAATTGTAAGAGTAAATGACGAGTAATCCCAAGAGCATGCAATTTCTTTATGTAGTAAGTAACACGGAAAACTTTCTTCGATAACAGTAACAGACCAAGAGAGATCAGAGGAGAAGGTAACACTAAGATAATTGACCTTCGACACTATGTTTATCTAAGAGTCTCCAATGATACAAGCATTATGGGATCTCAAAAAGGTGTTTATATTCCGTTCATGTCTCATGCTAAAGTTAACAGCTTGATATTTAGACGGATTAAGTATGAGACCATTAACAACAGACGAACAATCAATACGAGGCAAAAACTCATTCATTTCTATGGAATGTAAAGAGAAAGAGATAGGCATACATACAGTGAGATCCTCCGCACATTTCAAAAAAGTGTTTTCTGTGGAAGATGGCAGATCATGCAGATAAAAACGGAAAAGAAGAGGTGAAAGAACAGCTCCTTATGGTACACCTTCATGAGACAGTAGACACTCTGAACACTTTCCTCCAAACGCAGTGTACTGTTCCCTTCCAGAGAGGTAGGATCATAGCCAGTTGGTTTTCCAGCTGTCAGTGTTGACGCTGATTAACTTGTTAAGCAGAAGTATAGTCCAGAAAAGTGCATCAAACATATTTCTTACCCTTTTCCAAGTTGAACACTATCTTGTGATGGAAAACAGTAACGGCATCTAAGGCGCTTTTCTTGCATCTGTAAACAAACTGAAACGGATCAATGTGCTCTTTTATCGCATGAATATTTCCACTTTTTCTACAGTTCACTGAATTTCCTATTTTTCTTTCTCTAATCAATTAATTTTCATTTGATACCTGAAAAACGAAAAAATTATCAGTATAGGGGTTGTGGAGATTATTAAGTTTTTGATTGAGATCATGAAGTGATTAATGTTAGACCACCGTTTAAAACCCGTAAGCACTGAACGGCCGTCTCGTCCTATTGTGGGACTTCTCAGCAGTGCGCACCTATGATCCCACTCGCAGGATTAATCTGTTTATGATCTTAATCAAAAACTTAATAATCTCCACAACCCCTATATTGATGATTCACATGTGATCACTAGTGACTAGCTTCGTGAGAAAATTCTCGGACTTCTAGTGAGAAGCCGTGACCAGTGGAGCTAATCCGTGTCGGGTAGAAACAGGTATCTACCTCAATACAATGGAAGGTGATCTAGCAATTTCGTGGATTGATTGATGTTAGACACTAACACAGTTAGATACCAGCTCAGTGGTCTAGTAGGTTAAGCGTTCATGTGCGAGACTGAAGGCCATAGGTTCAAATCGTGGTTTCTCACTGCTGAGGAGTCCCACAATAGGACGAAACGGCTATCCAGTGCTTCCAGGTGGTCTTACATCAATCGGTTCATGATCTTTTGGGGACGTTAGATCCCCAGAACTCATTTGGGAAAGGACCTAATTTTGTAATTTTATTTAGAAAATTCGAACGTCTTTGTTTTCACGCCAAAGGCGCTCTTGTCATCTTCATGTCGTATTTCTTATTGGGAAATGTCTTAAATTCTATTGGTCCGTTGCGTCTTTTGGTAACTCCACCCAAGGACGGTTTTGTACTGTATATATATACGTTTTGAATTGTGATTGTTGTTATCGCTCGTTTCTGGCTGTTTTGAAGAATATACTTCTCCCATTCCAAGCTTGGACTTCTCCCTCTATTTGGCGGAGCTGGGATGACGGATCAATAGCTAACTTACTGGTCTTTGATCATCGAATCTTGTTTCTTGTTTGTAGATTAAGTGAACTCGTAATCATTTCAACCCTAGCATGATCTCAATCAAAAAGAAAATTATTCGAAAAAATAATTTTAAAAAATTTTTTTCTTTATTTTAAAAAGAAAACAATTGAGTAAATTAGATTATTTTTGATTGGTTAATTTTTTTTTTGGATTATTTAATTATGATCATACTTATTTATGAGTAATGCAACCAATCACAGGCAGGCAAATTTTTTTTTTGTTTTTTTCATCTTAAATTTGATTGGTTATTTAGTTACCTGGTTAAGTTTACCTATTTTCCTACCTATCTAATATGATTATTACTACATATATATATACAGTCCTATCTACTCAAATGTAAAGAATATATTACTGATAGATGTACATATGCTTTAATGTGTATGTATGTGTGTGGGTGCGTACCTATGTATGTATGTATGTATCCAAGTATATAGGTATACATCTATACACCTCATTTATATATATTGATTGTATAGGCATTATTTCCTTAGTAGATTAGATATACTCATTCAATGAGGATAAACTATATTCATAGACTAATGATAAAAATAATCCTTTAAATGAATATACACATGAAATTCAATATAATAATGATTCAATGTATATTAATTTTATTTCACTTAGTAACCATATTCTATTATGTAACCTGTAATATCCCATATTCTAATCAATTATCTATGAAACCATCTAATCGTAATATAAATTCATTATATAAACAAACTAATCAAAATATTGAAAGTATATCTATGATGAATCAACCAAATAGACCATATATAAAAACTTATGATCCAGATCATAATGATCCAAATTATTTACCACCACCACCACCACAATCACCAACACCAACACCAACAACAACAATAATGCAAAATTTAATCAATAATACAGAACTAATCAATCAAAATAAAGAAAATCAATTTAAAGAAGAAATTTATACAAAAACATCTATGAGAGATCGTATAGTAAATTTAATTATGTCAAAATATCGAAGTTATGAACGTCCACCAGATGGTGGTAATGCAACTATAGTAACAGTTAATATGAAAGTATTAGCTATATTTTCAATTGATGTACGTACAATGGATTATTATATAGATTTATTATTAAGACAAGTATGGCGTGATCGTCGTTTATCATGGTATGATATACCAGAATTTTCAAAATTTAATGAACCATTAGTATCACCTAAATTAAAAGAACAATTATGGTTACCAGATTTATTTTTTCGTAATGGTAAAGATGGTTATTTACATAAATTAACATTACCAAATTATTTATTACGTGTACATCCAAATGGTAATGTATTATATAGTCAAAAAATTACAATGAGATTTTCATGTCAAATGCATTTACAAACATTTCCAATGGATAATCAACATTGTCATATTAATATTGGTAGTTATGGTTATACATTAAATGAATTAAAATTTGTATGGAATCATAATAAACCAGTTGAATTAGCTGAAAAATTACAATTATCTGAATTTGAAACACCAAAACAATTTATTACAAATGATTGTTCATCGGGCTATTCCACATCAACTGGACAATATACATGTTTAAATGCAACATTTGAATTACAAAGACAATTAGGTAGTTATTTAGCAACAACATATATACCAAATGTATTAATTATTATGGTATCATGGTTAAGTTTTTGGGTAAATGTTGATTCAGCACCAGCACGTGTACCATTAGGTTTATTAAGTTTACTTGGTATATTAACACAAGCTATAAGTGTATCATCAACATTACCACGTGTATCATATATTAAAGCTATTGATATATGGATGATATTTTCTATTATATTTGTTATTGGTGTATTAGTTGAATATGCTATAGCATTAACTATATTAAGACGTAAACAATCTGAAACATGGCATGAAGATGTTAAAGAGATTGTACGTGAAGAATTAGCTCGTTGGTGTGCTATATGTCAACAACAACAATTAATACAATTACAAAATTCTAATCAATTAATTAAAGGACAATTAGAATTTCGTGAAGAATTAGAACATTTATTAACTAATCAATTTATTGATGATTATAAAGATAAAACTAAACCAAAACGACCACCTGGTTTAATTGAATCAGAAATTGATACATATAGTAGATTTTTATTTCCAGCATGTTTTGTATTATATAATTGTTTTTATTGGTGTTATTTTTTAATTATTGTTAATCAAATTTAATCATCATCAATTATTGATTGTTTATCGATTAATCGATCGACTGATCAATTGATCGATCGATCAATCAGTCGATCCCTCCTTATGTTTGTTCTTGATATATGTTACTACTCATGATTCATCAAGATCAATCATTTGTTGCTTATCGATCGATCAATCAATCAATCAATCAATCAATCAATCAATTCCTTCTTATGTTCTTTCTTGATATATGTTGCTATTGAGATACTTGAAACTTTTCACCTCTTATAGAGTTTAACAATCAAATATAATGAATTTGATGTTATTAATACATTTGTAATGATCTTATGCATGTAAAAAATCGATGACTTATTCATTCATTATTAATCGATCAATCAATTCCGTCTTATCTTCTTTCTCGATAAATGTTACTACTCAAATACGTAAAATTTTCTACCTTTGTAATAGTTTCTCAATCAAATATAATGAAATTGATGTTATGATCCATTATTAATGTAGTTGACGTTATCTTAATCATACAAAAATCGATTACTTATTCATTCTTTATCAATCGATCGATCAATTAATTAATCCATCCCCCCGTTATCTTCTTTTTTTTTACTTTAAAACATCTTGTTGTTATGGTTATTGTTGTTGTGTTTTTTTTTGTTTTTTGTTTTTCTAAATGGAAACAATTCTATTGTTTAGCTTTTAGATGAATTATACAATTTCAATAGAATTCATTAAATGACTATCATGATCATGATCATCATCATTATCATCATCATTATCATCACCATCATCTATTACATAATCAATAATATACTATGAGAGTTCACATTTTCCAAATAAAAACAAATACATTCAAAATTCATTTGTATACTTAATTATGATCATCTTTATGTGTAATTTCATTGGGAAGATTACCATTCGTACCATTCGTACCATTAGTACCATTATTACTATTACTAATACTACCAATATAACCATACTCAACTAAATAAACAAACATGGATGCATTTAGTAAACATTAATTGAATGATATTTAATAGTTCATATCAACCCCTTTCATCGATGTCATTCAATAAAGTATTATTATCATTCATCATTATAACTTGGTTCAATGTTCATTTTTTTGTTTTTTTGTTTTACTGTAAAGAAATGTTATCTATTGTATACAAAATTGTTATGTTGAATGAGTTACAGTAGAATCAGAGAGAGAGGGGGGGTGTATTTTGTAAATATTATAGTGTAGGGCCAGTGAAATGTCACTAAGTCCTAGCCAAATCATCCGGTAGTGGGGTCATTGATTATCGAGTAAATCATCAATCCTCGTCAAGGTCAGGGACAACCAATGTGCATCAGTTAATCGTATTCTATGGACTGGCCCATGTGGCAATGGTCTTACTTTCGCTTGTATCTACTTTAACTAGTATATTTCTGTAATAACGTCCTCTGTGTTATACAGTCTTCAAAGCAGCTATGGTACCTTGATACGTCAATGGGGTAGTTCATGTAAGGTGCTGACCACAAGGTGTGACTTCGACGTTAGCTAGTTTGTCACACCATTCACGTCTAACTCGAGTAGGCCTCCAATCATTACGACATGGATCATCTACGTTGGTGATCTATACTAGTAATTTAATAGTTGAATTCATGAATCGATTATTGTTAGACCATCATGGATACAAAAGGAATTTGATAAAGATCTTGATTCATCATGTTAGAATGATTTGTTCAGATGACATTATTGTAAATGAATTGGTTAATATTCCTAACTTACTTAAGTAAGAATAGGTACTCAATAAAATTGATCGACAAACATAAGAAAGAGATGAAAAGAAGGACAAAGATATTTACCGTTTTGAAGAAAGTATTGTTCATAAAATTATAATTCGTAGATGACATTACTGAAGAAATTGTGACTGAGAGACTAAGAAAAGTGGTACAAAAAACATTTAATGCAACTAGACTAAGTGCTATCTTCTGCCAATACTCCACAATAAGAATGCCCAATAAAGACAGATTGCCTGAATTCGCCAAATTCATATGTATTTATCGATTGGACTGCTCCTGTAGAGTCAGTTATATAGGGCGTACAATTCAACAAGTTCATCATTGTATAACAGAGTACCATCCGTCGTGGTTGAGCAAAGGACAGGTAAGAGTGATCGAAATTGTTATGTTGAGTTAGTGACAGTAGAATCAGAGAGGGGGTGTGTTTTTTTGTAAATAATATAGTAATTTAATAGCTGAATTCATGAATCGATTGTTGTTAGACCACCGTGGAAAGTCTGGAAGCATTGGACGGCTGTTTCGTTCTAATATGACACTGCCTTACCAGTGCGTATCCATGATTAGTGAGATTAACACCGTTGGATGTCGGTTAGCTCATTGGTCTAGAGGTTAAGCTCTCTGACGGAGGATTAATAAGTCCTGAGTTCGAATCACACCATGCGGGATCGTGAGTGCGCGCTGCTGAGGAATCTCATACTAACGGATGAAACAGAAGTTCAGTGTTTCCAGGTCTCCCATAGTGACCTAGCTTGAATTAACTCATGAATTCAATTAGTAAGTTATAGTATAGTTTATTATTATGGATTATAATAATATGTTATTTCCTTATAGAAGTTTGTTTAAACTAACAGTATCCACACACACACACACAGAGAGAGATATCTATAGAATGTTATCAGATTTATCTTGAATAGATGGATATTGATTTGTGAATAATTTTTTTAAATGGTGAGACTATAATTTAGGGATGACCTTTGAATGACTCTAGAATGACCTTAAGAATGTCCATTTACTTACTAGGACTAAATGAAGGTTATAAATCAGTTTGAAGAATAAGGATCATCATCAACAGTTGATGATTAGGGCTAAGAATTACAATCAGGGTTTTCCACCACAAACTGACATCAGCTAAACTGCCAAGATGCTATTTAGCCAAATGGATGAATAAAATTTCGCGCCCAAATCCCAAACCTATTATCTGATTGGTTAGTCCATAAATTGTAATCTTGCCGAGGGATGAATAAATGAGAATTAAGAAAGGTTTCCAACATAAAATGAATTAGAGAAATACTATTGTACAATGCTTAGAACATTTAAAATTGTTAGGAAATATATTTTCCGAGTCTTGGAGTGAAAATTAATTCTGCGATACATGTACATTAGGCTGACGACTTCCAAATAGGACGAAACACGCGTCCTAGATTCCGCTGCTAGTCATCACCCAATCTTCTTTTTTGTTATTATACAGTAAAACTGATAGTATAAATGTACTAAGTGCTTACTTTCTAATATATAGATTTCACATGACATGTAAATCAATCAAATTTCATTTCAATCCACATTGTTTACAGCAAATTCGCAAAGCAACCATTTTATTAATGATCCACTAAACAATAAGTAAGCTGGTGAAGTAGAGAATGATGAAAAAAGGATAATAGATTTCACATACGATCACTTCATATCAATAAAACGCCAACAATAGTTCTTCCATAATTTCATCCCTGTAAGATATTCAGTGATGATGGATTTGAAAGAAGAAGAAAGCCTGGAATCACTGGATGACCGCTAAGCTCTCGTATAAGACTCCTTAGCGATGTGCATCTACGGTCCCGCGCAAGGGACTCGAACCCGGGACCTTCGATCTCGCACGCGAACGCTTAACCTCTAGACCACTGAGCCAACACACATCGGCGTTAATGTTTAATTTCAACCAATCCACGAAATTTTGCTACCACTCACTATTGTTCCTGCGCGAGACCAAACGCCCTGGGTTCGATTCCCTTGTACTGGGTCGCAGATCACTGCTGAGAAGTCCCATATTGGGACGAAAGGGCCATCACGTTCATCCAGGCTTTTAATGATGTTCTAACATCGATTCATAATTCATGATATCAATCTAAAATCAATAATTTCCACAACCCTGCACAGATATTTCCTTGTACATATTTATCTTAAATCATAGCTTCTTACTTTCATATAGTACTTGTGTCAAAAAAGTTCTACTATATGGGGCGGAAATTTCCAGAACTACGAAAGCCATCATTTATAGAACACAAGTGTTTATTTACAGTCGTCTACGCAAAATACTTTTGATCCGTTGGACAGACACTATCAGTAACAACCTACTGTGTCAGAGAACAAATCAGATCACAATGGAGGAAGAAATCAGGAAGAAGTGCTGCAAGTGGATAGGACACACATTGAGGAAAGCACCCAACTGCGTCACAAGACAAGCCCTTATGTGGAATCCTCAAGGTCGAAGGAGGAGAGAAAGACGAAAGAACACACTACGTCGAGAAATGGAGACAGACATGAGAAGAATGAACAACAATTGGATAGAACTAGAAAGGAATGTCCAGGACAGAGTGGATTGGAGAATAGTGGTCGATGGCTGGGGTTGTGGAGAGTCAGTTCTCCCTCCTTCCCTCTCTCTCTCTAAATGTTCTCACATAACCATGTGCATACAACCACTGTCAGGGAAGTCCTACTGGCCGCTTTCTCTAGGCATGGGTGTTCTTTACGAAATTGAGAAGACGAAAATCGAATGTTCAGTGCTTTAACCGGTCTGGTGGATATGGAGGGTCCATTTAGGCAGCATGTCATATGAACCTATTGTTGGTCACTGGCTGCCATGAGACTGCATCTCCTTACATTGCTCCACTGTCTTGTGGATTAGACCTTTTATTCGAAGTCTCCGGGCATGATCTCCTAAGAAAACCACCTGCTTCGGTTGCGGCGCCCGGTTAGTATCCCATCCCTTACAAAAATCGAATGGTTTATGTGGCGCATATCTATTGGGTGCCTCCTTGTACCAATGTTTATATGTTTAAATAAATAAAATACATCATAGTTTGATCTATTTCTATATCAAGGAATCTCCTTCTGAAGAAGATACTTATACAAGAATTGATCATCTTATTTCAAGAAATGAGTCATAACTAATTACAAATTTAATCAATGATTAAACAGATAATCTCTGATAGAATCTTTAGCACTCAGTGTAGATCTTGTATTTTATCACAGGTTATTTATTTGAACACATAAATATTGGTACAAGAAAGCACCAAATATATATGCGCCCAAAATGCCCTGGTATGGCGGAGAGTGAGGTAGGCCCGCCCTTCCTCTTGAAATGCTCTCTCACGGCCACGCGTATACAGCCTCTGCCAGGGAAGTCCTACTCACTGCCTTCTTGTGGTGGGAGTGTTGTTTACGAAAATGAGAGGACGAAAGGCGAATGTCAGGCGCTTTAACCGAATCCCAAACCAATTGTGCACACGGGCTCCAGTATCCTGAAGGAACAGATGGCGTATGAAGCTATTGTTGGTCACCGACTACCATGGGTATTCATCTCCTAACGATGCTCCACTGCCTTGTGGGTTAGACCTTTAGGTCAAAGGCTCGGAGTGTGGCCCTCTAAGAAAACGACCTGCTTCGGTCCGGGCACCCGATCAGTATCACAGCCCACACACAAATATGATGAAATATCGATATTTTATCATAGGAAACCCTTATGTAGTTGTAATGAACAGAATCACCACTGGGAATGACTGAGCCTACTCTAACACGAAATTACAGAGTTATTTGGAAAAGAAAAATATGAAAACCATATGTTTAATGCTTGATTTGCAAAATGTTCATTTATTGTTTCACTCTTTATTGTTCCTTCATTCTCTGTTCTCGTTCTGTTTTCTTTAATCTTTTTAATCTTCTACTGTCAGAGATTCTATTTCTTATGGGCATTATACACTACTTATGTCGACAATAAGTAGCACACACCACATAATCATTAATTAGATATTGATTATGATAATACACTTGATTTAAGATGAAACGTATTTATGAGTATATCTGGAATTCGATTAGTAATCACTATGAGATAAAACTATTTAGATGTCAACTTATTCAATGAAGAAATTTACATCATCTAAATAAGCAGATGGAAATCATTTGCCATGTACAGGTTTATTTATCTAGTCTTGAATCATATTTTTTTTTATAAGAACAGCACTTCCTCCCTCTTGGTTGGCAGTGACACCAAATGTAGTGAACGAGAACACAAACGGAATACAACATTACAGAACGTCTTAGTAACATCTGAAAACCATGCAGTCAGTACTTCATTTGCGAAATGTTAATCAATCGTCTTAAACTTAATTAAT